TCCACGTTCAGATTGAAGTTTTGCCGGTCCTTCACCTGCGTGCGATACTCTGCCACGGCCTGGAACACCATGATGGTCGCCTAGAAAAGACAGAAAAGCATTCAAATCCTGTCCTGCAGTGTCAGTCCTGCACTTGTTCTGCTGTTCATCACAGTCAAATGATGAGGTGTTAGTGTACCTGAGTGGTGCCAGATCCTCCATAGTGAGACTGCTGTCTGTTCAGCCAGTGCACTGCTTCTCCTGCTTTATCAAAGTCTTTGTCCTTCACAAGCGCCAGCACAGCATAAGCCGTCGCCTCTAGTGAGTGATGGTGCTGTCCAGGGACAGTCCAGGACCGACCGGCTGTTTCAAACACAACACAGCAATAGAAACAGTATTGTCTCAAGCAGCTGTCATTACACAACAAAACATCTGTAATTCTTCCACTATTTACACTTGGGTCGAAGTGAGCACTGTTGCAAAGCGCAGCTCTTTTTGATGCCTTGTTGACTTGACTGACCTTCATGTTGGCTGGAGTATTTCATCAAGATGTCTTTATTGAGTTTGTTGGCATTGGCCATGGCGTAGGATGTCATCGCTACAGCGTAAGGATTGGTCAGCTGTGGAAGCCGACCTTCTAAGAAAGAAACAGCCTTCCTGATACTTTCATGCAGACTCTATAAACGTGTGAAAGGTGAAAATAATTTCTTAGATCTGCATCCTACAGCATTTACCATAATCAACTGTTAAAGGAACAGTTCACCCAAAAATTAAAATGCTGTCATCATTTACTCAAGTCGTTCCAAAGCTGTACGAGAAGAAAGAAGATATTTTGAAGAAAGTTGGTAACCAAATAGTTGCTAATCCCCATTTAATCCCATAGTATGGAAAAAAATACTATGGAGGTCAGTAGAGACCAAAACCTGTTTGTTACCTACATTCTTTAAAATATCTTCTTTTGTATTCAGCAAAGAAAGAATATTTTTACAGGTTTGGAATGACATGAGAGTCAGTAAATGACAGACTTCATTTTTGAATGGACTATCGTGTTAACTCCTGAAGGTTCTTGTGTGTTGTCCACTGATCTGTATAATGACTGGATTGCTCACTGTGCAGCCATTAGGCGATGAAGACATCGTAAGTGTTCAAGTGTTCTATTCCCTACCGGCAGAGAGCATCAGACAGCCAAAACACTGACCTAACATCACCTGATTGTGCAGTATTTTTAGGATATGTCTATGTGAATTAATTGTTACTTCAGGTGTAATCTGTAATGTTTATGGTCTTTTCAGGCAGGATAAGCGATATATTGGAGTTGGCTTACTGTACGAATAAAAACAATATTACAGAAATCTTTCAGATTCAGATTTCAGAATGAGCACTTTCTTATTTGTAATACATATGTTGAGGATCTCGTCTGGAATAGGGAATATGAATGTGGTGGCACGGTGGCAACATTTTTTATGACTTCATGAGCAATTCTCTAATATAGATCAGTGGTGTTGTCACCTGTATGCTTGAACAAATCACAATTCTTTAGATAACTTTGACATGAGGACCCATAAATGATACAGTCAGAGAGCTATTTTAAGACTGTAATAATGAGATCAGAGATAAACATTTTGTTTGCCTTGACTATATGGCCACATACTTACTGTAAAGTTATAGGGATGATTTACAGAAACGGCAACCTAGTGAATGTATGCACAGGATTAAGCTTTAAAAGATGAATGTGCATGTGGCCAAAGATTCAGGGGGGAAAAATGCACCAAAACTGCACGTGGTGAAACAAATTAACTTACAGCAACTGGTCCAGCACAGATCTCGCTGGCCTCTTGCATGGCAATCACAACAAAAGCCGTCAGAGAGGCATCAGCATCTTTGCCACGCACGTCACCCTGGAATAAAGCACAAATAAACTAGGCTATCACAAGAACTGTCAAGACTGTGTGTGTGTGTGTGTTTGAGAGAGAGTGTGTGTGTGTGTGTGTGTGTGTGTGTGTGGGGCTTTCAAAGACCAGCACAGATCTCGCTGGCCTCTTGCATGGCAATCACAACAAAAGCCGTCAGAGAGGCATCAGCATCTTTGCCACGCACGTCACCCTGGAATAAAGCACAAATAAACTAGGCTATCACAAGAACTGTCAAGACTGTGTGTGTGTGTGTGTTTGAGAGAGAGTGTGTGTGTGTGTGTGTGTGTGTGTGTGTTTAGGGTTCTTACAAAGTCAAATTCAAGCACTTTTCAAGCAGTTTCAAGGAGCATGTTCAAGGATTTCAAGCACTCACACGAGCCCTGGTGTTACACATTCAGTAACAATGTGTTCATTAATGTAGAATAAAGTGCAGTGTGCTGGTCTTGATGTGAATTTAGCTTCTGTGAATGACCGAAATGTTGAAAAACAAGCCAGATCAAAAACTTCCTCCATAGTCAGCACATTGTTATATTTTGTTTGTTTGTGCTGCAGATTATTTAATGCATTACTCCTGGAAACCACAGTGAAATAAATCATGGGTTCATTCCATCTTTCTTTTGTGAACAGAGATGGACACATTCAACAACATTCAACTTACCACCATCTCTCCCTGCATTACAGCTGAATCCTCTTTAAAAGAGCCGTCTTGTATTTGTTTGTGGAGAATCAGCCACTTAAGGGCGCTGCAGATCACATTCTCCTCTATAATAACAAGGTTATGGGCCATGCTGAAGACTTTAGCCACATATGCTGTCAACCTTCAACAGACAAGCAGAACAGAAATTATGCTCACTGTGCAGCCATTAGGCGATGAAGACATCGTAAGTGTTCAAGTGTTCTATTCCCTACCGGCAGAGAGCATCAGACAGCCAAAACACTGACCTAACATCACCTGATTGTGCAGTATTTTTAGGATATGTCTATGTGAATTAATTGTTACTTCAGGTGTAATCTGTAATGTTTATGGTCTTTTCAGGCAGGATAAGCGATATATTGGAGTTGGCTTACTGTACGAATAAAAACAATATTACAGAAATCTTTCAGATTCAGATTTCAGAATGAGCACTTTCTTATTTGTAATACATATGTTGAGGATCTCGTCTGGAATAGGGAATATGAATGTGGTGGCACGGTGCCAACATTTTTTTATGACTTCATGAGCAATTCTCTAATATAGATCAGTGGTGTTGTCACCTGTATGCTTGAACAAATCACAATTCTTTAGATAACTTTGACATGAGGACCCATAAATGATACAGTCAGAGAGCTATTTTAAGACTGTAATAATGAGATCAGAGATAAACATTTTGTTTGCCTTGACTATATGGCCACATACTTACTGTAAAGTTATAGGGGTGATTTACAGAAACGGCAACCTAGTGAATGTATGCACAGGATTAAGCTTTAAAAGATGAATGTGCATGTGGCCAAAGATTCAGGGGGGAAAAATGCACCAAAACTGCACGTGGTGAAACAAATTAACTTACAGCAACTGGTCCAGCACAGATCTCGCTGGCCTCTTGCATGGCAATCACAACAAAAGCCGTCAGAGAGGCATCAGCATCTTTGCCACGCACGTCACCCTGGAATAAAGCACAAATAAACTAGGCTATCACAAGAACTGTCAAGACTGTGTGTGTGTGTGTGTTTGAGAGAGAGTGTGTGTGTGTGTGTGTGTGTGTGTGTGTTTAGGGTTCTTACAAAGTCAAATTCAAGCACTTTTCAAGCAGTTTCAAGGAGCATGTTCAAGGATTTCAAGCACTCACACGAGCCCTGGTGTTACACATTCAGTAACAATGTGTTCATTAATGTAGAATAAAGTGCAGTGTGCTGGTCTTGATGTGAATTTAGCTTCTGTGAATGACCGAAATGTTGAAAAACAAGCCAGATCATTTCCCCTCTTGAAAAATCTTCCTCCATAGTCACTGCATTGTTATATTTTGTTTGTTTGTGCTGCAGATTATTTAATGCATTACTACTGGAAACCACAGTGAAATAAATCATGGGTTCATTCCATCTTTCTTTTGTGAACAGAGATGGACACATTCAACAACATTCAACTTACCACCATCTCTCCCTGCATTACAGCTGAATCCTCTTTAAAAGAGCCGTCTTGTATTTGTTTGTGGAGAATCAGCCACTTAAGGGCGCTGCAGATCACATTCTCCTCTATAATAACAAGGTTATGGGCCATGCTGAAGACTTTAGCCACATATGCTGTCAACCTTCAACAGACAAGCAGAACAGAAATTAATCAAATGTAAAACAAATTATTATTATCATTACTAATGATGTAATATATAATGTAATGCAAGAGAAACTAGGCATGAAACACAAAAACAAGTTTATTTCCCCAAAAGTAATGACATCAAAGTGACTTTACCATGTGCTGCTCGGCCTGTCTCTCCATGCAGCATAGGATCCATCTGATTTACGGTAACCCAGCTGCCGCTGATAACCTTAATATGAAAAATAATAAAGAAAGAATATTTATTTGTTTATTATCTGCATATTTGTTCCTGCTTTTGGTCTAAAGTTTTCAAGAGAGAATCTTTGAGAGTGTTTTTTTCCCAAATCATAGTCAGATTCATCATCAATTTATATCAATTTATTGTTTATTTATTCATTTGGTGCTTTTTACAATACAGATTGTTTTAAAGGGCACCTATTACGCAAAATTCACTTTTACATTTTGTTAGAACATAAATGTGTGTTGGCAGTGTGTACACAACCATCATATAATGATAAAAATCCACCCACTGCTTTTTTTAATCCCCATAAATCATAAGCAGTGTCTCAGAACAAGCCGTTTGTAGAATCTGTACAATGTGACGTCACATTTCATATGCCCTGCCTACAAGTGTTGACGGACACTGCCGTATCAGCAGAGACCCGCCCTGAGTGAGCCGCACACCATCCGCCATGTTCATCTTCACGCAAGAGCATTTAAAAGCAGCATTCAAGTAAGAAATGTATTCTTATTAAAGCTATACATGAGATTTATTTTCCCAGTCAAATCAATAATATTGTTGAATATTTAGTAATCTTGATTTTTATATCTGTTGTGTGCTGCTGACCTGTGCTGATATGGTTAACAGCTTCATCACGGCGCTCCATGCCAACAGTGTCCCACTGATTGGTGCTGTCCAGATAATGAGTGGCTGTGAGAGGTAGAGTCATCAGCATCATGTTCTGCTCTCCATTACCACGAGGCTGAACAATAAACCGCCCCATGAAGCTTCCACTGATGGCCTGCTCGACTGTCTGAGTGATCTCTTCAGCTGGAGGAATGTAAGAGGAAACATTCAGTTCAGTTTATTATATTTGTACGCAACACTCTCAACACTATATGTGACTCGTAGGTCTTCTATCTGGAAGAAATTGAAAATGTTAGTCCAGATCCTGGTTTCACCGATCACAGCGCATCTTGAAAACAGCTTTTAAAAAATCCATTGCAAGTGTTTTATTGAAAATCTATCAAATGCTATTAAGTGATCATCTAATAGCATGTCCACTGATGCAACAGTTTATATTCTTACACTCAGCGGCATGCATATAATGGCTTGTATTGTCCACTTCTCTGTCTCCTGCTTTGTTGGGGGTTATTTCATATACATATGTTAGATGTGCAGCAGCAGTATTTCCTACATGCTCACAGCAGTATGTCTGTGGATGTATTGGCAGTAGCAGGTTTTAATCCCCATAAATCATAAGCAGTGTCTCAGAACAAGCCGTTTGTAGAATCTGTACAATGTGACGTCACATTTCATATGCCCTGCCTACAAGTGTTGACGGACACTGCCGTATCAGCAGAGACCCGCCCTGAGTGAGCCGCACACCATCCGCCATGTTCATCTTCACGCAAGAGCATTTAAAAGCAGCATTCAAGTAAGAAATGTATTCTTATTAAAGCTATACATGAGATTTATTTTCCCAGTCAAATCAATAATATTGTTGAATATTTAGTAATCTTGATTTTTATATCTGTTGTGTGCTGCTGACCTGTGCTGATATGGTTAACAGCTTCATTACGGCGCTCCATGCCAACAGTGTCCCACTGATTGGTGCTGTCCAGATAATGAGTGGCTATGAGAGGTAGAGTCATAAGCATCATGTTCTGCTCTCCACTGCCACGAGGCTGAACAATAAACCGCCCCATGAAGCTTCCACTGATGGCCTGCTCGACTGTCTGAGTGATCTCTTCAGCTGGAGGAATGTAAGAGGAAACATTCAGTTCAGTTTATTATATTTGTACGCAACACTCTCAACACTATATGTGACTTGTAGGTCTTCTATCTGGAAGAAATTGAAAATGTTAGTCCAGATCCTGGTTTCACCGATCACAGCGCATCTTGAAAACAGCTTTTAAAAAATCCATTGCAAGTGTTTTATTGAAAATCTATCAAATGCAATTAAGTAATCATCTAATATGTCCACTGATGCAGCAGTTTATATTCTCACACTCAGCGGCATGCATATAATGGCTTGTATTGTCCACTTCTCTGTCTCCTGCTTTGTTGTGGGTTATTTCATATACATATGTTAGATGTGCAGCAGCAGTATTTCCTACATGCTCACAGCAGTATGTCTGTGGATGTATTGGCAGTAGCAGGTATCAACTCTGCCGCAGCATCAGGCCCGGATCAAGAATTCAGAATCTCCTGGGCACAATGTCTTGTAATATTATAATAATTATTGTAATATTATAATATTTCAATTATTTAAATCTTTCCTTCATTTTTATTGAAAACAAATGTCTTTCTGATCTGATATGTTATGGGGAAAAAAGCAGAGACCCGCCCTGAGTGAGCCGCACACCATCCGCCATGTTCATCTTCACGCAAGAGCATTTAAAAGCAGCATTCAAGTAAGAAATGTATTCTTATTAAAGCTATACATGAGATTTATTTTCCCAGTCAAATCAATAATATTGTTGAATATTTAGTAATCTTGATTTTTATATCTGTTGTGTGCTGCTGACCTGTGCTGATATGGTTAACAGCTTCATCACGGCGCTCCATGCCAACAGTGTCCCACTGATTGGTGCTGTCCAGATAATGAGTGGCTATGAGAGGTAGAGTCATAAGCATCATGTTCTGCTCTCCACTGCCACGAGGCTGAACAATAAACCGCCCCATGAAGCTTCCACTGATGGCCTGCTCGACTGTCTGAGTGATCTCTTCAGCTGGAGGAATGTAAGAGGAAACATTCAGTTCAGTTTATTATATTTGTACGCAACACTCTCAACACTATATGTGACTTGTAGGTCTTCTATCTGGAAGAAATTGAAAATGTTAGTCCAGATCCTGGTTTCACCGATCACAGCGCATCTTGAAAACAGCTTTTAAAAAATCCATTGCAAGTGTTTTATTGAAAATCTATCAAATGCAATTAAGTAATCATCTAATATGTCCACTGATGCAGCAGTTTATATTCTCACACTCAGCGGCATGCATATAATGGCTTGTATTGTCCACTTCTCTGTCTCCTGCTTTGTTGTGGGTTATTTCATATACATATGTTAGATGTGCAGCAGCAGTATTTCCTACATGCTCACAGCAGTATGTCTGTGGATGTATTGGCAGTAGCAGGTCTCAACTCTGCCGCAGCATCAGGCCCGGATCAAGAATTCAGAATCTCCTGGGCACAATGTCTTGTAATATTATAATAATTATTGTAATATTATAATATTTCAATTATTTAAATCTTTCCTTCATTTTTATTGAAAACAAATGTCTTTCTGATCTGATATGTTATGGGGAAAAAGAGAAGAATGAGTTTGGCAAAAGGTGGATTTGAACTGATCGATCATGTAAAAACACACCACCACGTGCTTTACGCCCTGCGCCACTAACTCTGTTGTATGGTGCACGTCTTTCTTTAGTAATGCTGTCTACATCAACCCCAAATTGGTGGGCGGAGCTGATGTAAAGAGCCTCTGAAAAAAAAAAAAATTTCTTCCCACTCGCTTGGGCCCCAAGAATGCAAGAGTACAAACCAGTCCCAACATTAAGTACCGTGATAGAATCCTCATACAAGTACTACACAATTTGCCATGGACATTATGACTGTAGATATAGGCTTCATCTCTCTTGAAATAAAACATGCATACAACTTTAAAGAAATAATCACTACACATTTATGAAATCATCTTTTTCCTTACCAGTAATCGAGATGTACGTGTCAGCAGGTGTGTCTGGAAGACGATCAGCTAGTATGTCAGCTTTAAAAGCTAAAGGTTTTTCCCCTGATCCATTTGGGAAGAGAAACAGAGAAGAACAGCAAGATGGAGGAAGAGTTATGAGTCACACGCTGATCATATTTTGTATGATTTTGGTGAGTACTGAGCAAGAAAAGAGCAGGAGTTCATTGTGATCTCTGGATTGGCTAAAACTAATGATATTCATGGACATTTTTTCATAACTGGCTAGAAGTGTAATGTCTGCTACGTTGTATAGTGGAAGTGTAACAGAGTGATGTTATTGTGTGCTTCACAGTAAATCTCACCATTCTTAGCAGGATTGAGCTGCACATTTTCTCTGCGTAATGAAATCAGCACACCCTCAGACTGAAAGAGAGAGTGTTAACTACCAATGATGCTTTAGTTCATCTATTGAAAATGACAAACATCTATTAATGATACAAATGACTAAATAAAATAAAAAGTGTCATTTCCCCAATTTCCCATCAGACGTACCACCACCTTCAGCGTCTTTCTCACTCCATCAGTGAAGATGGCGTCATATGCAGAAGCTTTCACCTCAATCATGTGATTTCCCAGCGTCATGGGAATAATCACATATGAAACGGCTATGCTGGAGCCTTTGTCAACAGATACTGTTGTTCTGTATTTGCCTTTCTTACTGGCAGAGCTGCAAACATCTTCTGTCTCCATGAACTCCACACGCACCTGGTGAAAACAGGAGAATGAGACTCAAATCACTTAAATATCCAGAGGAAACTTCAATCCAATATGAATGAAGAAGGAAATTTCTGTTTTAGCACAGGGCAGTATCCTATACTTTTCTTTAATTTGAGTCCTGAGCAGCACAAAAAAAGAAATTACTCTCACTCCATGTAATGCATGTTGTCATTAGAACATGATTTGACTAAAACATAATTGGTTACTATGACTCACACAGCTTTAATTTTTACCATAAATTTTAAATTAATTTTTAAGGTAACACTTTACTTGAAGGGGTGTGCATAAGACTGACATGACACCTTCATAATCATGACATGACACATGTCATGAATATGAAGGAGGTTTTATGCATGTTTATGACAACTGTTATTAAGTGTCAATCGCTCAGTTATGTCATTTTTAATGCAAATATGACATTATTTGACCTAACCCTAACCTACCCCTACCCCTAGCCTTACCCCTAACCATAGCCCATAACAAAGACATCTCAAACAATGTCATCTTTGCATTAAAAATTACATAACTGAGCGAATGACACTTAATGACAGTTGTCATAAACATGCATAAAAACCTTCATATTCATGACATGTGTCATGTCATGATTATGTAGGTGTCATGTCAAGATTATGAAGGTGTCATGTCAGTCTTATGCACACCCCTTCAAGTAAAGTGTAACCAATTATTTTAATGACATTTTTGTTTTACCTTCCTTCGGAATTTCAGGTGCATTTGATTTTGATGGTGTCCTGTCTCTCTTGCCTCTGGACAAACCCCATCTGTCCCACCTAGACCTGATGTCAGTTTCAGGAGCTGTCAACAATGAATCACTTTAATGTAGTTTTGTAATGAATGTATTCATCATTTGCATACATTAGGTTCCAAGGTTTAACTTGCAGTACACTAGTTACAGTATAGTACAGTGTACTTAGCAACAATTTAAATGCTTGGTAATAAGTGTTGGAATAGTTTTCTATCACTGAAAAAAAAATGTATTGCAAAAAAACTCAATAATACATACTCTGAGAGGATTGTATAGAGTGTGAACTAGATGAGGAGATCAGTGTCTCTTTGGATGATGTAAAAGCAGTTTGTGAGGGAACTTGGTTCTCAGGATTATTCACACTCTTGTGAATGAGCCCATCAGATTGAGAGCGGCGATGACGAGAGAACAAAGGTGTTTTCTGTTCTTCAATTTTAACCTCAGACTCCATGTAATGTATGTTGTCATTAGAACATGATTTGACTAAAACATAATTGGTTACTATGACTCACACAGCTTTAACTTTTACCATAAATTTTACATTTTTTATATTAAATCGAATCTACCTTCTGCTTCTTTGGGGTGTAGTTGTGAATAATGGCCTTGATTTCCAGTTGTTCGCCGCGCACCGCTGAGTAAGGCATCTTTAGGTCAATAGAAAGGTGTTTAAAAACCACCATCTCCTCAGGTTCTGCCACACAGATGCCTTTGAGGAGGAACACAGACACACAGAAGGATTTAAAGCAGCAGCTCCTGGATGATGATGATGATGATGATGATGATGATGATGATGATGTTCAGAGCATGTATTTTGGGTTTGCAGCTTCTCCTTACCAAGTGTTGGTGACAGACTGACAGCCAAGATCTGCCAGGTAGTGATAGAGTATCTCAGGAAGATCTCCTTTGTGACTGATGTTGTTCCACTGGAATATGAGGAAGAGACAGATAGAAAATCATAGACAAGCTTCATCTCACAAGCAAAGACTGACTTGATTCAGTTCAGTACAATACTGCTGTCTAAAGAAACACAAACTCTTACAAACCAGTGGTTTTCTGTGCAAGTGGGTAGATCAATCTCCTCCCAAATCCAACTCTCAGGAAACCACGTACGTGACACAATATCTTCAGAGTCTGTATAATAGTCATCGTCATCATCATCTGTTTTTAGTTTTAACAAAAACAAATCATTAATCTCTCTGGGATCTAAAAAACAAACAAAAAAACATTTAGTACTGTTACTGTTACACATCCCTACAGAAGAGCTGTACTAACACTGAACTTCACTGTGGGAACCAGGCACTTCTCACTGTACTCCTCCTCTAGCAACACCTGTTAGATCCGAAACGATTAACTTGGTCCCATGAGACTAGATTATGGATACCCAGAAGTCTTTATTTTGTTAATATGGCCCTTGGAAAAAGGTTGAATGAGTTTATTGTGCTTTGGTCACAACGGCAGTGTCGACAACAACCATGCATGTCACTTCTGCAGGCTGCACCTTACTCTGTGAGATAAACAGTCACCCTTTTATAGCTTTTGCTGGCTCTGAAACACTCGCTTGGCATTATTCCTGCTCTTTTTCTAGCAAATAAATAAACAGATCACTCATCACTAAATGAAAGCTTAAAGTCAAGGCCTGATGATTTCAGGGGTCTCGTCACAAGTTCATTGCTGTTGAATTTCTGTATTACTTTTGTTGTATTTTCACACTTAAAACAATGTTGGCATTCCTCTTGTACCGCTGTCCTCTTATGCAATGAAATAAGTCTCCTGACAGTTCTCTCCCAAGTGCTTCCGCTGTTGTCACAATTAAGTGGGGAAGTCGTGGCCTAATGGTTAGAGAGTGGGACTCGTAACCCAAAGGTTGTGGGTTTGAGTCTCGTACCGGCAGGAATTGTAGGTGGGGGGAGTGAATGTACAGCGCTCTCTCCCACCTTCAATACCACGACTGAGGTGCCCTTGAGCAAGGCACCGAACCCCCAACTGCTCCCTGGATGCCACAGCATAAATGGCTAACCCACTGCTCCGGGTGTGTGTTCACGGTTCACACCGTGAGCACGTAACCATACTTGGCCACATGTCACGTCACAAAGTCTGAGAATGATTCAGTGGGGTCTATAACACTTTTAATGGTCAAGAAATTACTTCCCTTTCATTCCCGTTCATTCTTAGCTGTTGATCAAAAATTAAACTTAATCTTAAACTTACACCAAATATTTTTTTATTTAGTTTCATTTAGTAACTTTCAGGAGGATGTACTCATTTTTGCAACACAACATTTTATCACTTTGATAAGAAAATATTTTCCTGAATAATTTGGACATGCTTCTTTGGTAACTGATCAAGCAGACTTGCTGGAACATTATATCTCTAAAGAACCCTAACATGTCTTCTAAGTAAAGAGTAATTGCTGTTTAAGTTTAAGTTTCTGAAGAGGTGCAATCATTTATGCAGCATATCTATGCTGTAACTTTATTCCAATACAGCAGGCCTGTTTCTAGGCATAGGCAAGCTAGGTGGTCCAATAGGTCACCTAGGGTGCCACCAGCAGAAGGGGAAGCCAATGAGCACACGTACTGGCACTATATTTTAGCAGTGTTGTGATAAAGAGTGGCACGGCCACCCTGAAAAATGATTGCAGCCCTCACTGGATCCCCCAACATCATTGGGCTAGAGTACTGACAATCTGACGATGCCTGTATGCCATTGGATCAGAGCGCCGTCATTTGCGTCAATTGCTGCCGGATAGCTGAATGTAAATTTGCATTTGGAGTATCAACAACACAATTAGAGCAATGGATTCTGTCAATCCGTTGGCAAGGTAAGGTTTTTTTTTTTTTGCCATGCAATAAAGCTAATTTCAAAGGCCAATTTAGAATATTGGTACAGTAAAAAAGTGCACAAAATTAGGGTTAGGGTTAAATCTTGCTGCAAAATTGGTCCAGAAGGTGTGCGTTTTTGCGCCAATGCATTGTTAAAGGATCAGTGTGTTCTGTAATATTCCCATATAAAACTTTAACGACCAATTCAAATATATTGGTAAAGTAAAATCCGCTAATTCACAAGATCAGTACATCCTTTATTAAACCTCTTTGTTGAATTTAACGCATCCTTATGGAAGTGTCGAAATGCTGAATTAATTAATTCACTTCTAACAGCGCTTAATGGAAGCAGCATCATAAACAGAGGGCAGAGTGTCGTGTTATTTAAAGGGGAAGTTCACATGTCAATGAGTAACAAAGAAATAAGTAGCTGCATTCTGATTACTTTCATGTGACTGATCAAGCTTTTTATTTAGTTTGGGGTAACAAAGCGTTGTATAGGTGTGACTGAAATAACAATGAATAAAAGGACCCCTTAAATCAACGTTTCAAACAACAACAACAAAACAATAAAAAAACAAAAACAAACAAAAAAAAACAGATAAAGACAAAAGTAGTCATTTATAATATCTAAACATGTATCTAAATCCAACTAAAATACAATTAATTTTGGGGGGGGGGGGGGTGGGGGGGATAACATATATAACAGCAGAGCTGAACTCTGAAAAGCATGTTTAATATTTAAAAGGGTTGAATCAGAATTACTGTTTCTCACCTGATCGCCGTCTTCTCTTTGAAAGGAAGGGACAATCAGCCGCTAGAGGAAAAACTCATTAGAATGAAATTAGTATATGACACTCTGATGTATGATTGTGGAAATATAATAAACCAGTAACTGTTTAGTGAATTTGCCACTAAACGTCTCAAATGTAATATATGAAATTGTTTCTAATGCATGGTGTGTATTGATAGTGCCTTTCTGGCTTATCTTTACAGAATAACATTTACTGATATGTTTTATTCAAAATGAAGCAACTACAAATATACAAACATACTTGTTCTGGTGTTGGTTCCTCCTGCAGTGCTGGACTCAAACATCAGACCTGCATCAGTGAAAACCCCCATACTGTCCCTCCCACCTCCTGCTGTACAGCCGGTGTCATGCTTCTCTATGATGTCCCAGATCTAAAGCAGCAAAGAGATCATTTATAAATCTGTCTCAAGAATTCAGTGACTGTTGAGATGCTGATGAACGTCCTTCACCTTTGTCTGAGTGAGTCTCTTCTTGTTCACAGCTTTGTCAACCATCACCAGACCAACTTTAGCTCCAGGATCTCCAGTTATCTGCAGCTTGACCTCATCTCCTGTGCGATAGGAATACATCTTCTCCTTCACATCAATCTGGAGCTGTTATTAAATGAGACACTGAGTCAGACCTAGATGATTGGCACATCAACTGTTTTTTTGTGATTGTTGACCCACCGTTCCCATGCACGTGTCCTTCACATCGACCCAGACTGAATCAGACACCACCTCAGACGAGCCCACATGGTAATAAGCCACAAAGCGGAAGGACGGCACCATGTCTTTGGTTACAGTCACAGGCAGAATCACTAGTGATTCTCCTCTTCGCTTAAACCTGTCTGCTTTTACAATCTGACCTTTACTCAAGATCTGAAAATGAGGCAGATGAGAAAATAGAGATATTCATTTATTCATAAGATTCAATTTTAAACAAAAACAATACACAAGTTTTACTTAAATCAATAATTTCTGCTTGAATCCTGACATGACTGTCAATCACCATGTATGTGAAGTCTTGATCTCTGACTCCTGGACTTTGTCCAGTGCCCAGATAGACTCTCATTGGATCACCGATCTGAAGCTCAGCAGCATCAATGCCGATGTACAGGTAGTTGTTGGAGCCGCCTTTGGTCTCATAGGCCTGAGCCGTCATCTTCCTCACTGCCTGCTGTTCGTCTCTTAATTTTGGATCTTTGGTCTTTGCCTGGAAAGAATACATATTATTAGAATACATTGTTTTCTGATGTTCTTTGTACAATATGCTCTATTGATTGTTTAACATCTGTTAACTGATCTATTCTCCACTAGATCACCAGTGAAACTGAATGAACATCAGTGCTGTTATGATGGCAGGTCTTACAGTGATGTCCAGTGCTGAAGATCCTCTCGGAGTGTTGACTGTAACCTTCGCAATGCCGTTGTCTCTTGTTCGACCTCTGACCCCTCCAGGATTGACCTCCACTTCCACATTTTCAGCAGGTGTTTGGTCAGGATTTGTTACATAGATCTTTTATAGAACCCAGACCAAAAAACAATGAAATTGTTCCACATTTTCTACATGTTAACTGTAAAACTGTAAAAAAAAAAAACATTTATCTGTGCTGCTTTTTAACTGTTGTAAATGTCATGTAAATTATACTCGCATCTCACTGCTTTTCAGCATCTCGCACATGAGTGCCACTTCCTTTTACAGAATAGAGTTTAATGAGTAAAATCAGCTACCGAGACACTGAAGGGCATCCCAGGTTTGAAGAAGTGTGGTGTTTTTTTGAAGTGGATGGTGTACGGTGACGTCACGATCTGAATGCCTCTCCTTTCTGCTTCCACCATTTCACTGCCTGAAACACACAAACCATTAGCTTCTCAGACAATCACACACGTGCAGGTAAACATGTGCATACAGATCTGTTGAGTCTTACCACTTTCTGTTAATAGACTGACTGAAACATAGATTGATCGTCCAACCAGCTGGTTAATGTTTGGAAAGGTGTCAGTGATCATCTGATTGGTCAGTTCTGCAGTACCCTCTCCTTTCACAATCTATTCACACATGAAAAACAATATACAATAAAAGCTATTTAACTTCTTATTTAAACTGTCCTCTAGGTTTGAGGAGAAATTATATTGATCTCAACAGGCGAGATGTTTAATGTCTCTCACCTGAACTTTTTTCAGAGATGCAGGAATACTTGTTTTCTTCTCATTTTCCATCACACCAAACACCACAAACGCATTTCCATCCACCTTCTGTCCAAACAGGTACCTATAAAAGCACATCCAATCTCTGCTGTAAAACTGAATAGAGGCGATGACTGTCCCTGATCCACATACACTTCATTACATAGAAAAAGAGCAGTTTCAGCATTTTTAAAAGTTCCTCTTGTGTGTTGAGAAAGCCATACAGGTTTTAAACAATATGAGGGTATTTTTATTTTTGTACTCTGATGCTGTTTGAGAAGTGTTTGTGCTTTGAGTGTTTGTGCAGATCTACTGGAAGTGACAGATACAATTGAAACTATGTTCATACGACCAGTAAAATAATTGTAGTAAATAGAGTATTGTCTTTGCTCATTTTAAAGTTAAACTATCAGGACAAGTTTTGGTTTCACATATAGTACATTATTTTGTAGATTACATACAAACTCCATTTTAATTCACTGTGCTCACACATTAAACACTGATTTTGAATACAGTGAAAATATTTTGTCTTACTTGGCTTCAATGTCGACTGTCAGACTCTCATCACCCACATAGAAGAAGGACTTACTGAGCTTTAATTTCACTTCAAATGTTGGAAGCACTAAAACCAAACCAGACAAAAGACACAAATAAATCAATAAATACATTATTTTAATTATCACATTTATATAACAATCAGTTTTTACCATATTCTTTGACCTCAAAGTCTGCAGTAAACTTCTTCTGAGGAGTGTTTGAGAACAGTGTGACCACCTTCCAGATCCCAGAGCTGGAGAACATTCATAAATAAGCAGTGGTGGAAAGAGTACTGAAAAAATATACTCAAGTAAAAGTACCATTACCTTCCAAAAAATTGAGTGTGAGTAGAGTAAAAGTACTTGTCCAAAAAACTACTTGAGTAAGAGTAAAAGAGTAGCCAATTTAAAAGTACTCATGAGAGTGGAGTCCAGCCTGGGGTCGTCACATGTGGTTGCCGCAAGCCCGCCCGCCGCGTCGTTCTTTAGCCCACTGGCCGCCGCTAACTCTAGCCCCCGGCCGCCGCTCACTCTAGGCCACCGTGTGTGACGCTGTGTTTCGTTGTGAAAGCGAAACTACTTTGTTTGGTCTTCCAAGAATGGACACAACTAGAAATCAGTGGTTAAGTTGTATTTACAACACTGTTCCAGAACACTTCAACCCAAATATTCAGATGTGTGCAGCACATTTTATGGAGGACTGTTTCCTGATCCTGGGAGAGTAGACTACAATGCTGGCTGTTCTGACTCACAGACTGTAAGTACGTGTTATTTCTGGGGAAACTTTTTCAAAGGAAAACACACACACACATGCGCTCTCGGTGAATCAGCAGCATCCACAACTGAACGGAACAAAACGTGTTGAACTTGAAAATTGTTTATGCGCTAGTTCACTTGCTAAATGAAGGCGGATTGTATAAAATAGATAAAATAAAATAAAAACCCTTTTCACCCTTTCAAACTCATCAAATTACTGAACGTGGTACTTGCGTGAGTTAACACTTAACACTGTACGCAATACCCGCAACCTCACACCAAATTTCAGGCCGTGTAGATAGGCAAGCATATATACAAATCATTTAGTAAGCAGAAATCCAAAATTTACCTTAACATATTAAGTTAGAGGAAGATGCGACTGAATTGATGCTTGAAGAATGCGCTTCCAGCAGCCATGATAAACAGCTGGCGGTTAAAGTTTTCTATGCACAATTTGATTTGACGAAAGTCACGAGACCTATTACTCTCTATTCAATCACGTTGATGGATAAAAATTAAATTAAAATAAGCATGTTACAACCACAAACGGAGGAAAACAGCGGAGTAAAAGTACCGATACATCCCTTAAAATGTACTCAAGTAAAAGTACACATTTTTTAAACTACTCAAAAAAGTACAATTACTGATAAAAGCTACTTAATTACTGTAACGTGAGTATTTGTAATTAGTTACTTCACACCCCTGTAAATAAGCATTATCCAATAGACTAAATCAGCATTATAACACAGATCACATTTAAGAGTAGCTGCTGCGTTGTTTGCAGATAAATTCAAGAGTTATTATCCTGAGGTAGACATCGTGGATCACTGAAAATTAAATCCAGTAAGTTCACTCAGGATCAGTCTTCGTAGTGTTTCACACACACACACACACACACACACACCTGGCCATCTGAGGAATGCTGTATCTTCCAGACTTCATCCCTCTGACTGGAAACATCTTCTCTGATGAAACTGTGATGCCTTGAGGATTCTTCAGAAACACAGAAATCAGCATGAACACTGCGACTGCAGAGATCATCAGTGCTCATTATGCTGAAATGACTCTGTCTGTGTGTGTGTGTGAGAGAGAGAGAGAGAGAGAGAGAG